ATCAGATAGAGTGCTCGTGGCCTCTAGCCTCTGTTGAACTAAGTATTATACTATCTTTCTTTCTACTATGCAAGGACAGTGTAGGTAGATACACACAGTTACTTACAAACATGAACCTCATTCAATACTGTTTCTGCAGTTATACCTGCGCACCCTTATATATATATCTTATCCTGACCTCTCAAAGCCATCAGAGAAGAAAACTTACCCACATGAAAAAAACGTGCTAGGCATTGACTTCCCTTTTATTGTGTAATGAACACTGGTCTCATGGAGTGAATGCACACAACAGTGATAATAAGTGCAAGTTTCCTTGTCATATGGCATTGAGAAGTGTCTGTACATGATACCCGATGTATTAAGTAAATACCATTGTTGTATGTCTTCGTGAGTAGTTATCATAAGCTTTGTTCTATGTAAGCCTTGAGGACCTTGGAAACATCGCAGATCACTAGTGTCAATGGCCCCTACGAAAAAAATTGGCTAAACGAGTTTCTTTAGAGAGGCAAAGATCCATCATCATTCAAATTCCACATCATGACCGTCTTCATCCGCTAGCGTCATCACCTTCAGCTTGACATCTGCTGTGATATCCTTCCACTTTGGATCATCACCATGCTCTTGTTCATGGATCGAAACAAGTGTAACGTCAATCCTGTCTCCTGCCCAAGTTCCGTTAATGAGCCATTCGCCTCCAGACATGGAAACAGAAGGATCATCAGAGCGGCCAATAAGACAGAAGAGGACTTGGGTGAGGTTACGTGATCTGGACTTGATCACATACTCTCGTTTACTGAGGTTGCGGACCATCCAGCGGTCCCCCTCTGGCCTGCCTAGCCGAAAATCTTTCCGATCGAACCAAATCCAACGATTTATTCGTTCATCGGAATGGAATCTAGAGAGCTCCTCCAGAAGGCGAATGTTGGCCTGAGCTCTTTTGTCGTTGTGAGCTGAAATGGTCTTCCATTCCAGCTGGGTGAAATTTTCAGCAGCCGCACAGAAAGCGTTTCCAAGCATGTCGCTGTTACCCTCAAGTGCCAACTCTTTTTTGTCTTCCTCACTTAACACACCTTCGGGCAATGTCCTGGCGCAGTCTCCGAGAAGGATTATACGAGTCCTAGCCCAGCTGTGCCTTCTGAGTTTGGAATAGAGAGAGCGGTATCGAAGTCGTGCAGTGTTTTCCCACATTGTTGTGCAAGTCAAAGAGAAACAGAGCAAGTCGAGGTATTCCTCAAGTTCGTCAGCAATCGCAAGCAATAGCTCAAGAGGAAGCGCAACATCGATCGTCGTCCCTGCGGTATCCGTTCTGGTGGATATAGTCAATGCGAGCACAATCGGTTGATGGGACAAAGATACCGAACTCACTTCAAGTTGATTTTCTGTAATCTCTCTTCGAAGAAAGTTGTGTTGGATGTGTATGTCGAGGGAATAACAGGGGCCATCATCTCGTTGATCACACGGTTAGAACGCCAGAAAAAGTCTCCAAGCCTTCCTAGATAGCCGGTGGCTTCCCTGTTGTCGATGCTGATTACGTTCCAGTACTGTATCATTATCCGCGACGGTGGTTTACGGTAAGCTTGAGCTAATCATACAAGATCTGGAAATACCACGAGTTCACCTAAGCGCTTGACACTCATTGTAAGCGCCCTTGTAGGAGCCTCCGTAACTAGTTACTATTGAGGGCACAATCCACTACATTGGATCTATTTTGTCATTTGAAGGCCTCCGTCTCGAGATGCATGAAAAGGTTCTGGAATCAGCTCCTACTTTGAGATAGAAAAAATTGTCCCTGTCCTTGCCACCAGGACCAGAAGAAGCGGGCCTCGAGAGCCCTACTTACAATTGAGTTCAAGGGCGCTGCATAGTTAATCGATCGTGTGACCGTCTACGTAAGCCAGATCAATATACCAACGCTGAAAAATTTCTTGTCCCTTGCCTCCCAAACCGTCCTCCTTTGAAGCATTAACTTGCTTCTTTTCTCCTCCTCAGTTACTTCTCGTCGCTGTCGCTGCTGTCGTATTGCTTGCTCTGTCGTTGTCCTAGCTTTTTTCGTCTTCGCTCCGCCTCCCGGTCTCCAATAAAAAGGCACGTCGAGTCAGTACACGGAAAGAAAAAAATGGCATCGCAAATATCTCAACAGTATGCTTGTGTGTTGTTTTCTACCTCCTCTTATCGTTTCTTGCTAATGTACATATTCTTCTCCTTGCCACACAACACAACTCACGATTAAACCAACCAAATCAAACGGAAATTGATAATAGACCGCGCTCAAAAGTCCCTTGCGCTCATTGGACCTTCACCAACATTTGACCCCATCCCAGGCTTCGTTGCGCCTGAACCAGATGCTGCAGCAAGGACATATGCGTACAGCGCAGATGGGAGGCTATACGCTTACGCGTTGCCGGGTTGGTGAGTTTAGTTATTCAGTTGGTTTTGCTGTTCAAGTCTTGCTGATGAAGTCTCGATATTTTCTTGATCTCTAATTCTTTGGGTTTATGTCCACTGGTTGTCGTTCTGGTCGTCATCGTCATCGTCGCCGACATTCTCACCCGTCATCATCATCGTCATCATCATCGTCACTGTCCCCAACGTGACTCGTTTTTCCTCTTTGCATCAATTTCTTTCTCTTCTTTCATGACAGTGTTCGTATCTTTCAAGCAGAAGGCGCCCAGCTACTCTCTGAGCTCGCCCTTCCCAATATCATCGAGCTCTCTTTTTCTCCTCGAGGAACATACCTCTCCACCTGGGAACGACCTCTTAAGCTTGACGGTAGTGCTCAGCAACACAAAAATCTTCGAATCTTCTCCGTCTCCACCAGCGACGAACTCGTCTCCTTCACGCAGAAATCTCAAGAAGGTTGGGATGTGCAATACACGATAACGGAATCGCACGCGATCAGGCTTGTTGGGCAGGAGATACAGGTGTTCAGGCCTACGGAATGGGGCAAGGGTGTTGTGGATAAGTTGAAGGTTGAGGGTGCGAGTAAGGCCAGTCTGAGTCCTGGTTTGAATCCCTCAGTTGCGATTTTTGTTGGGGAGAAAAAGGTTGTGTGTTTCGTGGTTATGAAAATCTTTATATTCATGGTTATCACAGGGTGCTCCGGCAAGTATTAAAATTTATGCTCTTCTCTCGCTCTCCACCAGCACTCCTACCTGCCAAAAATCCTTTTTCAAAGCTGACCGCTCAACTTTGAAATGGAACGCCCTTGGCACTCAACTCCTTCTCCTCACCCAAACTGACGTCGATAACACGAACAAATCCTACTACGGCGAAACTTCTCTATACCTCCTCAGTGCCGCAGGTAACTTTGACTGTCGGGTAACGCTGGACAAGGAAGGCCCAATTCATGATTTCACCTGGAGTCCCAATTCGAAGGAGTTTGGTGTGGTTTATGGATATATGCCTGCGAAGACCGTCTTGTTTGATCAGAGGGTGAAGGCGGTATACGACTTTGGGTCTGCTCCGCAGAATTACATATCGTTCAACCCTCAAGCGAGGCTTCTAGCTTTAGCTGGGTTTGGAAATCTCGCAGGGAAAATCGATGTATTTGACCGTCGAACGTTGAACAAGCTATGCACAATTGACGCTCCGAACACGTCTTACTGTGAATGGAGTCCAGATGGCAGGTTTTTGCTGACTGCAACATTGAGTCCGAGACTCAGAGTCGACAACGGGATCAAAATATGGTATTGTACAGGCCAACTCGTCCATGTACAACTCGTGGAAGAATTGTATCAAGCTTCATGGAGACCTATCCCTGTCGACAATGTCGCACCCTTCCCGAACCAAGGCCCAATTGGTGGAACACCTCCGACTCCAAGCTCATCCGTGGCTGAGTATTACCAACAACAAAAAGGCGGATCAACGACGACTTTGTCCGGAGACGGAACTCCAGTGAAACCTGCTGGAGCTTATCGACCTCCCGGAGCACGAGGGAACGCTACACCGGCGATATTCAAGAGGGAAGATGAAGGTGGGTATTCGAGGAGTCCGAGTGGACAGAATACGCCTTCGAGAGGGTATAGTCGGAGTCCTGCCCCGCCTCCTCCGGGATCTGCGGCTTCGTCGATGAATGGACAAGGGAGAGGGGGCAGGTATGTTCCTGGGGCTCCTCAGCCTCCTAAGAATGAGACTCCATCAAGGCCCGCGTCTTCTGGACCTAGTGGCCCGCAAGGACAGGGACAGGGACCACAAGGACAAGGGCAGGGAGGATCGAGGAAGAGGAATAAGGGTGGGAAGAATCGGGATGGTAAACCCGAAGAAGGAAGTCAAGGACAGGGACAAGGAGGGCAGAAGAACGGGCAGAATGGAAATGGCGGTCAACAACGACAACATCAGAATGGGAACGGGAAGAAACCTACTTCGATTGATCTGAGCGGAATTAACTCTAAGGCTACTGATACGAATGGGAAGACGCCTAAGCTCACGCTCACCCCTCTCGATACGGCAATCTCGACTCCAGTGACACCAGGTCTAGACAGTGCTTTGGATCCGATTGCGAAAAAGGTTAGGAATTTAAACAAAAAGGTATGTTATACCCACATATTGCTCTTTTATTCAAAATCACTCACACTCACACCTGTATCAGCTCAAAGCAATCGAAGAACTCAAAGAAAAGTCTAAACGCGGTGAACGACTCGAGGCTACGCAGATGAAGAAGATGGAGGGAGAGGTAGAGATTAAGAAGGAGCTTGCTGCGTTGGGTGTCGCGGCTGAGCCTTGAGTTTGGCTCTATGGGGGCTTAGGGCTCTTCCTCAGCATGTAAACCCCTCACACCCTCAATTGCATTTGTAATTGTCAAGTACCGCGCGAATTAGATCCTGCCATTTCCATCTCGTTAATCATAATCCTCGATATATTCACCTCTGTCTTCTGTCGTTCTCGTTAAACTATCTCACTGGAATTACTCTGTTTTTTATCGGTTGATCTCCACATTAACATAAGCAAAGGATAAAATCCCTTCTCAGTACGAGGACCTTATTGATTTCATATTAGAAAGCTCCGATATGGTGTAGTGGCTAACATTATCGCCTCTCACAAGCTTAGCTGAAGTTCGATTGCGCGATAGCCCGGGGTTCGATTCCCCGTGTCGGAATTTTCGTTTTGTTCATAGTACAACGAAGACCGGCTCATGGCTTGCTTATATCTTTTCTTACAAGTGTTGTGAGGCTTCAGTCAGATATGAAAACTGGTTTTTAAGTCGGTCATGTCGCGAGCATAAGCAATCAAACACTCATTTCTGTGATGAAGGGGGTAGTACTCAATGGGGGGGGCAAACGGAGCCTAATTCAACTGCAAAGCACCCCGAGCTACCAACATACACATCTAATGATTCATTATATGCCTTCATAACATCTCGATCCCCAGCGGAAGACTCGGACTCAGACTATCTTTATCATTATCCAAAGCGGGGAAGATGGTGAAAGTGACGATTGGCCTGATCCCAACATTGTCTACAAGTGTGAACCGAAACTTGGCCAAGCATCTCGTGAGAAAGGTTTGCATTAGGAGAATTCTAGTGTGTAGTCAAAACAAAAAAAAGTGGAGACATAGGGGTATGAGTGAACACTCACGACAAACGCCATCTACAAGTCAAACATTGGCAGTTAATCGAGGGAGAGGGGAGGAGCAAAAAAATCTGATCGCTCACCCAACACAAACCCGAGCTCCTCCAATGAAAGTCGATCTGAAGCGCGAAACATTAACGGTTTCACCAAGTAGAACGGCTAGAACATACAAATTCGCATATGGTCCAAGGCCAGTCGAAACTCTGACTGACCCTTGTTCTGATTCAGATAGCCCTTGTGTGGGAAGCCACCTCCAAGGATTGAACGAGCCTGCGTCTTCACCCCATATCGAGCGTGTTCTGAACAATTAGTGAAAAGCTCAGGACCATTAGCGATCAAAAAGACCCACTTGTTATATGCAGCTAGATTGAAATGAACCCTGGTCCCTTTTTGTACCAAGATCTGTGTTACTTTGCTTTTTCCATCTGCGGAAGATATGGGCTCAGCCAGCGGAAACACGACGTCTTCTAAAGTGATTCGGTTGACCATTGGGACACCGGGATAAAATCGAAGAGTCTCCTATACCCATAATATCTGCCTGGTAAGCCCAACAATAGCCGCGAGCTTAGGTTAAGCATACCTTGATATGGGCATTCAAACACGGAAGACCATCTAATCCCTCATTCCGAAAAAACGCCTCTGGACATTCTGAGTCTCTACTAACACGAGCGTGGGAAATGATCTCCTCTCTAACGCGCTCTTGCCAGTCCGGATGCGAAGCAAGCTCGTATAAAGCCCAAGATAATGAGTTTCCCTATCAACGTGATTTCCAGAGTCAGTGTTCTGTTGTCATGGAATAGGAGAAGGTTGAACCAATTTCCAAAGGCATAAGAGTACCATTGTAGGAGTATCATACGTACCACGGTATCTTGACCTGCGATCAACATGCTTGGGATCTGAGAAGCGATTTGACGGAGTGTAAGCTTGTTCTGGGATTTCGACAGTCCTTCGTTAATTCGAACTAAGTACATCATGCATCATCAGAGAGGCTTGAATTATACCGAGATTCGAAAGTAACAACTCACCCATAGCGCTAAATATGCTCGTACTGCTATCATTACTTCTTTGACCAGTCGTCGTATCCGAGTCATCGTCAGCTCCAGAGCCAGAACATCCAAGTTGATTCGATTCGTGATTCGCTAAAATCTCATTAACAAAATCTGCGTTCAATTTTGAGAACCGATGAAGTCTCTTGAGCCTCTCCTCCGGTAAATGAAGCATGATTCGTAGGAGAGTTTTGGGTAAGAGAGCTTCTGCGAGGCGTTCGATGATCAGAGCGCGTTTGGTTGGTTTGCTAATCAACTCCGAGCTGTTTGTTTGCAAGTCAATAATTGAACAGTAATCGGTTTGTAAACGTCGGTGCCATTGGTAGTAGAAAGCGCTCACAGAATGTTAGAACTATTTTCTATCCACATTTTCTGCGCGGTGTGCTTTTTTGATTCAGGATCTGGTGTGTCTCCAAGCACGGCTAGGTATAGGAGTTGGATTATGATTTTAATACCTTAGCAAGCATGGTATAGTACGTACCATGCATGCTCTCAGTCAACGCAAACTTTCCCAAAGCCTGTTGAACGTTAATAGTGCCTTGTTCTCTTCTACCATTTTGTTGACATTGGTCAATCCATTGTTGAATGACCTAGAACATGATTTGAGCGTCTCAATGTGTTCGTATTGCGGGTAGGCCAGTAGATTAACAAAACATACCGCATCTGTACCTTCTTGGAAGGACGAAGCATACTTCCTGAACGCAAGGTCCATAACCCCTCGGAGTCGACGATGACTAGGACCTGTATTTCTTTTGAGCAGCAGGCACTGGATAGGAAAAAAAAATTAAATGGGGGGAGAGTAAACACCTATTTCCGAGAAGACAGCCCCAGATCCATTAATCAAATCTGAGCTGAGCGTGTCCAAAGGGGGACGAGAGAACTTGTACGGGTTTTGAAAAAAGAATTTGAAAGCGGCAGGGTCAGAGATGACCAGACGTGTTTCCTGGATCATAAAGTCTATGAGATAAAGACGACGGGCCAGGGATTGCAAACAATCTAACTCCTAAACAACCTCGAACAGTATACGCTGCTCCATAGGTATCATGCCAGCCTAGGAGCGCACCAAAGTCAAGCTCTGTGCGGAATGCGATGATGTTCCCTGTTTCATTTCGTAAGAGTTGCCGGGACAACCAGGGAGGTCTTGAAAGAGTCATCTGTGCTCACCAAACACCCACGAATGACAAGGTAAGCCTTTTACGATATCAGATAGTTTCTGATGCTGAAAAAATAGTCGCTTCTGGAGTAGATACCCTCCGATGATCAAGAGGGCAAGGAGGGTTATGATGTCTGGGATATTCATTGAGATTCTGTGGATGTAATATAAAGTACGGCGAGTTGGAAGGAAGGGGATTCCGAGGCAGTCGCAAAGAATGTGATGTCTGTGTGAGAGTAACCAGAGCAGCCCTGAATCTTTTGAGATAATAAGCAACGCAGAAGCAAAAAGCCGTATTTTACGTACATACATTTCCAAGAGATGATGCGTCGGATCTCGCGAGGCTCCTTAGTGTGGCAGCCAGTGAAAGTCATTGTTGAAAGTTGGTGCAGGAAGGTTGGAGGAAGACTCAGATATATCTACGTCCGCCATAGGTAGTCCTGGTGGTGCAAGGGAGAAAGCTTGAGTACAAACAAAATTGAACACGTCGTTCATCCTTCCATATGAGATCACCGGTGGGCATCAAGCAAGCAATACGAGTGATCCAGATTCGGTCTACCTTGAGGCACTTATTGTGCGCGAGTTCACCTCATATGACCAATTGGTGCCTTACATATAAGCGTTTGATGTACCGATCAGACGCTTATATATAAGCCTTCTTGGCGTGTTCCGGGCTGGTTAATGCTGTTTGGTGGTCATATAGGGCGACATAGTATCAGTATATAGATTATCAGTATAGTATTAGGCAGTTTCAAGTAGTACAATCAATAAACGATCTGCTATAACACATTGGATTCATGAAAGTACACTCATACAGGGTCGTTAGCAATGGTAAGTATAGCTTCAGTCCGCTCGTCTTCCTCGTCCTCTGTCTCACTCTCGTCGCTATTCTCGTTGTTGGGATTTTGACCCTCAGCCTCAGCATCAACAACCTCCGTACCATCCACGGTTTGACGTCGGGCGCCGATGCCGGGCTGGAAGAAATGTGAATTGGATACAGTGAAGCCTTTGAGCTTTTGGATCGACTTCAGTCGAGTTCGGTGGACTTCATTAAACCGGGATCTCTCTCTCCCATGAAGCCAGATCTGGTAGGCCAATGGTTCATCATTATCCCGATGCCTTCTGACAACTGTTGCAAAGTATTCCTCCTCCTCCTTCATATAGGTAAGTAGCCGCTTGATTTCAACATGCAATCGGTCGATTTCTTCCCCTGCCCGTATCAACTTGAATAACTCAGACATCGCTTCTCGTACTGCTGGTTTGGCCCATGGTTTGTCGAGGATGTCCGCTCGGCTCTCACGTAGGAAGTTGAACTCGGAAAGGTATGTGTAGTTGAGTATGTCATCCCAATCCAGTAGTTTTCGAGGTGGTTTGAGTGAGGCGGCACAGGCATTGTATTCCTCTAAGGCTGAGAGAATGGCTTTCGAACGTTTCTTCATGGCATCGCCAATGTGCTGACACATTTTATACCCTGTAAATGATTAGTAAGGAACAGATAGTTGTTTGATCATAAGACACACCAGTTCCCGCTACGTTCATCTTCGAGAGCTCAAATATTCGTGCCACCGTTAATCCCTCCAGCTTATCTGCGGCCTTCCGATACTTTGCTGTCTGGACCAACTCCCTTGCACTATTCCAAGCCTCGGAGTCCCTTTTCCATCTCTGATCCCTTCGAAGTCCCAATCTTTCTTCAAGTGACTGAACATCGAGCAGTAATTTGGCCTCCATCTCCTGCTTGTTGACCATCTGCCTCTCGGTTAACACTAGCTGGTTAGCATGGTCAATGTTCAGCTCTGATGGAGGACCGGACTCCATCCGAAAGGTAGCCCTAGCCCTCCGGAGTTCATCCTGACACTCCCAAAGCTTACCAAGAGCCAGATAATACGACGATTTTGTGGTGTCTTCTTCCGGTATATCCTGGTGCGATTCCAAGTAAGCCTTCTCCTCGTCTAACCAAACAGCAGCATTCTTGACATCGAGAAGTCCTACAGCACGGAGGGTACACGCTGTATTCCGTGAGCGACTAAGGATCCCAAGAGCTTGCTTGTAGTTCGAAACAATAAACCGCGAAAGATTGTGATAACTTTCCATGTTATCTCGATGATACGCATAGTTTGCAATAGCTTGGCGACGGCGAAACCTACCCATGTATCGAGTAACAGGTGCAAGAGCATTTGATTGGGCAAAGTAGCGTTCACAGACCTCAAGGTCTTCAATCCCTGCCCCCTGGATGTAGAGAAGGAGAAAGGAAAGCTGGCAGAGTCGATTGTGAGCGTAGCCATGTAGTAGACCAATCATCATGGACAACCTCTCCTTTTGGGCAAGATCA